TTTTTCTTTTTTTTTTTTCTCCCCTCTTATTCTCTCTCTGCTCTTGTCCTCTCTTCTTCCTCTCTCTCTTTCTCTCTCTTCTCCTCTCTCTTTTCTCTCTTCTCTCTTACTTCTTCTTCTTTTTTTACAAGGGTTTGACAAGGTTAGGTTAAGGATCCCTTGCTTTATTGGGAAGCTAGTTACGGTTAAGGGTTCCCAACTTTACTGACAAGCTAAGGTGTTAAATTCAAATAGGGAACAGGATGAAGATGGAGAAACTGTGGGCCCCGAATTTTTTATTTGGGTCAACGGTTTTTTTTTCTGTTTTAAATTTTTATGCTGTTCGAAGGGGTTTTCCCTACTCGAGTCATCCCGGGCATAAATGATTCAGGGTGAAGTGATGTTCATCCCCTTTCTTTTTCTATTGTCTCTGTCTCTGTCTTGTCTTGTTGTCTGTCTGTCTCTCTTTCTTTTGTCTCTTCCCGTCTCTCTGTCTTCTCTCTCTACTCTCTCTCTCTCTCTCTCTCTCTCTCTTTCTCTCTTCTCTCTCTTTTTTCGTTTATTTTTCGGTATATCGAAAATTAGGTATTGTTTATTTTTAGCGAAATTACAAAATCAAAAAAAGTTACGGACCATTGTACAATACGGTTAAAAAAGTACCATTTTCTTCAAAAAAGTTTAAATTTAAATACCTTTGTTCAATTTAAAAAAATTTTCTTAAATTTTCCCTAGTTTTAAAAAAGCTAGCTCTATTTTTAATTTCCCAAACAAAGTAGAGGGGTGAAAAAAAAGAATTAAATAAAAAACATAACCCGTGACCCGCAAAAAAAGAGGGATGCAAGTACAGGGCACAAATTTGCACAGTAAACTGTTTCAAATTCCCCGTAAAAGCCTTTTTTAGTACAGCTTTAACCCCTGAGCATTTATCCCCCAATTTTAAAAATTGATTATTATGCGATAAATAAACCCTCTGCCCGTTAAAAATTAGCCCAAGTGTGCCCCCTGTTTTCTTATTCGTGATTTTTTTAAAATGTAGTATATATAAAAGTGATGATTAATACCGGGCCCTTCACCCCTTTAGTTCACAAGAACGTTTAAAACAATTTCAAAAACCTTACAAAATTTTTTTTTGCAAAAGAGTTTTTTGCTTAAAAAAAAAAATAAAACTAAGTGAATGATTTTACCCTTAAAAAAGACTTTTCGTGTTTCTAACCCTTTTCAAGGATTGTAAAAAATAATTTGAACAACAGAAGGGGGCATCAATTTTCCAAATTTTTTTTTGTATAAATATAGAGATTGGGTAGATAGATAATTTTAAAAGAAAGATAGGTAATTTGTTTCCCATATACTACCCTACTAAAAATTTTAAAGTTTTGTTGGTCTCCCCGGGCCCCGCCAATCTATTTATCCACCCCCTTTCTCTCTCTCTCTCTCTCTCTTTTGTTTCTTCTCTCTCCTCTTCTCTTCTCTTCTCTCTCTCCACAAATTAAAAAAAATTTTTAATTAAATGATAAATTTTCCCTTCCCTTCACGTATTCCCTCGGAAACCCTTTTCCCCCGCACGTATTTTTCAAGATTTCACTCGCGCTGAAATAAAAAAGCCTTTCATTGCCCCTTTTTATAAAGTGGGAGTGGTAAAAAGCGGACCCGGGAAAATCCAAAATGAGAAGGCTTTTGTTTTTGGGGAAAGAAATAATGACTTTATCGTGCGAAGTCGAGTGGAAAAAAATTTGTGTTTTTGTTTTTTTATATTTATTGAATTTTTGGCCCAGGGAAAAATTTTTGGGAAAATACTCAGTGAAAAAGTTTATAAAAGAAATTTTTTTTAAAAAATACATTACCTTATTTTTTTGTTGCGTTTCATTGTTATTTTTATATATTTATCCTTTAATGTTTTTAAAATATTTCCCAAAATTTTCTGATTTTTCAAACTTCCCCTGTTGAATTAAAATATATTTATACTATATATATATAAAATTTTATTTATATATATATATATTTATTTAAAATTATATTTTTTAAAATATATATATATATATATATATATGGGCGTTTCCGAATAGGCAGAATTTGCGACTTTGCCTTTAAAAAAGCAACGTCATCTTGCCATATAGGACAAAGTGAAAAATTTTTGTATGCAATAATTTCGGCAAAAAAATACTGACCTAAACGAAAAAAAAAATATTTCACTGTGGGTTTTTTTAGAATTAAATTATTGTAAACAAAAACTAAAATAATTTTGGGTTTGGTTTGGCTAAAATAAATTGTTTTTTTTTATAAAAAGGTTAGGTAAATTTTCTAAGATTCCCTTTTTGGGGCAAAATTAAAAAAAAATTTTCGTTTAATTAATTTAAAAAAATTTATTTTAAAAGTATTAAAAGAAATTTTTTAGAAAGGCTTAAATTTTTTAAAAGAATTCTTGGGTTTAAATTTACCCGTTTTTTTCATATTCGGCACGAAAATATAAATATATATATAAATATATTATATATATATATTTATTATATATATATAAATATATATTTATATATATATAAAATTTTATATATATATATTATTAGGTGTTATTTCCTGTTTTATCTGCCCTTATTTATAAAAATGGGAATTTTTTAAAATCTGACCTACTTTTTTAACCCTCAGAAATTTTCATTCTTTAGTGTCATCATTACAATTGTGTTGTCATTCTCCCTTTTATCGATTTAGTCAGTCATGCCATTTATCATAAAATTTAACCCCTTTTTCATTTAGAATTATTCCCTTTTTTTCGCTGGAAAAGGAAATTTTTTCTGAAAATTTTTCTTCGTTTTCTACTTTTTTTTCATGACTTTTGATCCTTAAATTTCGTATATAAAAGTCAAAAGCGCAGTTTTAGGGGAAATTTTTATTAAGGGTTTGACCCTTTTTCCTAGTGACCTGTGGGTTTTTTAAAGACGTTTCGCCATTTCCCGTGGGTTTTTTTGTTTTTAAAACAAAACAAATAAAATGGAACCGTTGAAAAAAGAAATAGACGCTGAGTGAGGAAAAGAAAAAACCACGGTTTCGTTTTCATAGCAATATTTTACTAGTTTATTCCCTTTTTGGGGTGTAGGTGAACAAAAACCCGGGAAAAAGCATCTGTTTTTTCGCCCCAAAAACCCGGGGGGTGAGCTCCACATGGGTTTTTGCGCTTAAATGAATTAAACCCGGTAGTTTGGGGAAACTCCAAACCCTTTATAGAAAGTGTTTACTGAAGGGCAGTGTAAATGAAGAATTCAAATCCCGTCTTGGGCGTATGTTTAGTTAGGAAAAAGTTTGAAATTGCGGTAACAGGGCCCCGGAGGGGTTCAGGGGTTTGGCGCCTGGATCAGCAAAAAGATACTTAATGGGTTTCATATATGTCTTTTTCATTTTTTGGACTAACATAATTTAAAAATGGAAGTTTAGTATGGTGGGGGAAGGGGTGGATTGGTGGTAGTAGGGAAGGTGGGGGTAGGGGGGGATGTTTGGTGGGGTAAGGAAGGTGGGGGGGAAAGGGGGGATGTTTGGTGGTGTAGGGAAGGTGGGGCGGGGTGATGAAGTGGTAGTAAGGAAGGGGTGGTGGGGGTGATGTAGTGGTGAGGGAATGTTCCAGGGGTTTTGTGGTTTTAAGGAAAAGGGTGGGGCAGGGTTGTGTTGGGGGAATGGGAAGGTTTGGGTGGGGGGGTGGGGGTGGTGAAAGGAAGGGGGTGGAGGGGTATGTGGTGGTGTGGGAAGGTGGTGGAGGGGTTTGAGAAGGGGGTAGTAGGGAAAAAGGGGGTGGCGGGGTTTTGATAGGGGGTAGTGGGAAGGTGGATCGGGGGGGTATAGGGGTGAGGGAGGTGGGTGGAGGGGTGATGTAGGTGGTAGTAAGGAAAAGGGTGGTGGAGGGTGATGTTGTTTTAAAAGGAAAAGATGGTGGTAGGGGGAAAGGTTTTTTTTTGGGTGGTTTTGGAAGGGGGGGGGATGATGGGTTTTGGTGGGTAAGGAAGGTGGGGGAGGGGGTGTGGTGGTAGTGGGAAGGGGGTGGCGGGGTTTTGAGGGTTGAAGGGAAGGTGGTGGTAGGGGGTGGGTTTTTGAAAGGAGGTGGGGCGGGGTGAGATAGGTGGTTTAGTGGGAAGGGGTGGAGGGGTTTGAGATAGGGGTAGAAAGGAAGGTGGGGTGGGGTGATGATGGGTTAGTAGGGAAGGGGGTTGGTGGGGGGTTTTAATGTAGGTGGTAGTAAGGAAGGGTTGGGGGGGCAGGGGGTTTTTGTTTTTGTGGGAGGGGGTTTGGAGAGTGATGATGGGTGGGATAAGGAAAAGGTGGTGGCAAGGGGTGGGGAAGGGGTGGGGGAGGGGGTGGGGGGTTGTAGGTGGTAGTAGGGGGGGTGGAGGGGGTGTATGGGGGTGGGGGGAAAGTGGTGGCAGGGGTAATGATAGGTGGTAGTGGGGGAAGGTGGTATCCGGGGGGTGATTATAGGTGGTTGTAGGGAAGGGTGGTGGCAGGGGTGGAAATGATAGGTGGAAAGGGTTTTTAGGG